CTGCTTCTCCCTCTGACCCTCCTCCCTCTCATGCTCTCTGTCTCTCATTCTCTCTCTCTCAAATAAATAAATAAAATCTTAAAAAAAAAAAAAGTCAAAAAAAAACTTAAAAAACCAGAATGGCCACAGCCACAAACAGCGCTCCCACGGCAGGCTGGCCACGACGGGAGCACACTGTGGAGCACGCCATCATGCACACGGCGGGTGGGAATGGGAAATGGCGTGGCAGCCACGGCCACAAGGTGCGGCAGTTTGTCATAAAACTCACGTGTGCCCCGTGTCCCCCAGTAATTGCACTCCTGGGCTTTTACCCCAGAGAAGTGAGAACTGATGTCCACGCAAAGCCTGCACCTCCCCACCCACAGCAGCCTCATCTGTAATCGCCCAGAACCAGAGACACTCCAATGTCCTCCCACGGGTGAACGGCACGATGAGATCCAGCAGCAAGAGGGACTCCTGATACGTGCAGCAACTGGGTGGGTCTTCAGGAGGTTATGGTGAGCAAAGCAAGCCCATCTCAAAAGCTACCTGCCACCTGACTCCCTGGGTACAGCGGCCTGGCCACGACAAGACAATGAACGAGAGACCGCGGTTGGCAGAGAGCAGCGGGGATGTGACCACAAGAGGCGGCCCCGGGCCTTTCCTTCCAGGCAGCGGAACACGGCTGTGTTCTGACGGTGGTGCTGACACGGTCTACACGCGACTTGGTCCAAGTGCACAGAACACACACCGGAGCGCGCGTCCACGTGAGCCTTGTACCGACATCAACCGCCTGACTCCGGCTGGGAGAGCTCCCTGATAACAAGCTGCGAGACGCTGGGGCAAGCGTTCAAGGGACTCTGTGACTATTTCTGCAACTTCTTGTAGGAGAAAAAATTTTTATCACAGAAATTCTGAACATACAGAAAAATAGACAAAAGCTAAAACTCCTATAATCCCAAGACTTCCACCCAAAGATAATCACTTTGACATTTTTGTGTATTTATTTCTAGTCATTTTTTCTGAGCATGGGTTTTTGTTTGGGGTACAGTTCCGGGTGGGGAGGGACGTAACTCCACATCGGGTTTTTCCCACCATGCCCAGTGAGAAGCTGCTTCTGCCCAGACTGGAGTGGCCGCTCCATCATTCGGTCTCGCTCCAGCTCCGGGCAAGCCGTCCCAGGGGAGGCAGCAGAGACGCGTGTTTAGGACACGGACCTAAGTGAGTGAGGGTGTTAACCATGCCCTAGCTCGCAGGGTGGGCACAGTTCCCATCAAACTCTCAGAATCATGCCCGGCACTCAAAGAACGTTCCTCGACTCTATTTGTGACGCAGCAGCTTTACTGCCCAGCAGGTGTTTTGGGATGGCCCTTCCCCCATCCTCCCACAAAGTCCTCGAATAAAACACAGGCCACCTCTCGGGCCATGCCAAGAACTCTGTCCCCTGGGGCCCGAGCCCCACAGGTGACAGCAGCAACCTGCCCAAGTACGTCACAGCTGCAGCTCCACTGGGGTCAAAGCCTCCCATCCTCGACAGGCGCCGCCGGACCCTCAACCCCCCAGTGACACAGCACGCGCACATCGCAGCAGGTGCTGAACCCGTGACACCAGGTTAGGAAAAATGCCCCTTTCTAGAAGGATCAGAACTTGGAGAGAAGTCAGAGGAAGGATTACCAGAAATGACTTAAAAACTATCAAAAATTCACTGGGTCTCCATAACCATTCCACAGACACTTTTTGAACTCACTGCCAAAAAAAAAAAAAAGGCAGTGTTGAGATGAGCAGATGCTTGTCTGTTACGTACAAAAATTGTCACCTAATTCTATGGATGAGAGGAGAACCACAGATTTAAAAGGAAGAGTCCGATGATGTAAGTTATTGTTGCTTAAAACTTAGAACTGGTTCCAGTAAAGAAAGTATCAGCATAAGAGTAAAAATACAAAAGCCAAAATTTAAGACACTTGAATGTGCCACCAATTCACTGCTGTGCTGGAACAGTGCCTTACCTTTTCTCTGATTACAACTGGTTTTAGAGGCCCAACTCAATCGCAGACTCTGATAATTCGTATCTTCATCACAAACCAGAATTCTAGTCAAACAAAAATCTATAACTGTCATTTAAAAAAAGGAATGTAAACACAATGCTAACAAGGAATAACTGTGTAATAATCACAATGCATAGTGATAAAACAGTATGATACAGCAGTCTTTAGAATCAGTGCACATACAGAAGCCTCTGGAAATGCACGGGCCACTCCTTACTGCCCAGGTGCACATTCTTTCTTCTAAGGACTAGGAAAGCCCTGTGGACCCAACATGCCACAGGAAGAGCCCGTCTGGACTGCACCCACAAGAGCATGGTCAGAGGGACACACGACAGCAGTGCTGGACTGCGGGGGCTCAAATCCGGGGTGGAGGGCAAGCTGCTCAGCTTCTCGGGGCTTCAGTGTCCTCATCTGTGAGACCCAACTGACAGAAGTCCCTCCAAGTCCCCTGTGGACAGATCCTCTCTGTCCTGACTGTAGAAAGGGGCCAGGCTGGCAGGCAGGGTGCTGTCTTCTCCCCGCCCCCTCACACGCTGAGCCTGAAGGAGCAGCACGTATCCTCCCCCACCCCTCCCTGCCACTGCCCTCCCGGAAAACCTCTGCCTCCTTCACTTCACCAGCCCCCCCTCCTTCCTGGCTCCCCAGTCCTCACACCCTCCAACACCTCTCCCACCAGAATTTCTGGTGATTTCCATGCCCAGCAAACAATGCCAGAGGCACCCGGGCTCCCAGGTGCATGAACTCCCTCCCATCATCCTGTCCTCCACCCTCCAGCAGCTCCTACCCAGGGCCGCACCTGACACGGGGGTTATAGTGACAGCAAGTGCCCCCTCCCAACCAGAATTATCCTTCCTCTTCCTGCCTCCAGGCCTACCCAGCAATCCTTACTCCCTGCGGATGGCCCTGCGATCTGTCCATCTTATGACCTGTTAGCTGTCCCTCCATCTGCTGCCTCCTGTCCTCCCCTCCCTGCTGACCAAACCTCAGCTCCACTCCCTGAAGGTATTCTGAACTCTGCGCCCTCCCATGCTGACCTGCTGGTCTGACCAACCGCAGCCTGCGCAGACTGCCACTCCCCACCTCCCCCTGTGCAGTCCCCTGGAGCCACAGAAGGACAATCCCATCAGGCCAGCAGATGGACTGCCCCCTTTCTATTCCTGGCCACGAGGCTCACGGGGCCCTTAGGGGACACGGCCCCTGGTCCATCAATCCCCCTCCCGGACTCTTTAGGGTCCTCTCAAACCTCTATGGCTCCCCCGATCTCACTGCGGACTAAGGGCCGAGCTTCTGGCTCACCAGGGGAAAGCAGAGGCGGTAGAGGGCCTCGTGAGCTCCCTCGGGCACCCGTCCTCACACTCCAGGCTTTCCCTGTGAGCAAAGTTAAACTGCCCTCATGCTCACAGAGGCCGAGCACCCACGCGATGCCCTGTCGCATCCCCTCTGCCCTTCACAAGGATGAGGCCACAGCAACCAGGCCCTCTCTCCTGCATCGTCCTCTGTACGTTTCCCGTCCCCCAGGGAAAGTGCTGCTGGCTGTCCCACTGCTACTAGAAATGTGTTCTCTTGGCTCCAGCTGCCCTTCAGCTACGGCCCTATTTCTCTGCAGAATGCCTCAGGAGTGCTGACTTTACTGCCTCCAATGCCTCTCTCCTCCCATCCCTCTGTCACCTCCAGCAAAACTGCTTCGGTCAAGGTCAACAATGACGTCCATGTTGCTAAATCCATAGCCAATTTCTAGTCTTCTTCAAACTTAACCAATCATCAGCATGACATGCTCGTCCAACCATCTTCCTCAAAACACTTTCCGATTTGGTTTCTAGGACTTTGCTGCCTACCCCTCTGAAGCTCCTCATTACTGCCCACCTTTAAATACCAGATGCCTTCCCCATGTGCACCCACTGGGGAGCGCGGTCACCCACGGCCCTCTGGTCTCCAGGCTACACAGCCAACTGTTCCTGGACATGCAGCAGCTGTCCCCACCTTACCGCTCTGTGTCTCCCACAGCCCGCATCAGATCGCCCAGCACACCTCTCCAGAACTGGCTGCTCCTTATGTCCCTCCCAACAAATCCCACTGCAAACCACACTAGTCGTACCCTGCTCACTCAGCCCCCCACTCCCCTCTGCCCCACTGTAGTCTGTCCCTGAATGAACTGTAGGCAATGTCACCCCTTCATCCCTACTCTCAAAACTCTCTCTCACCAGCAAAACCCGAAGTCTTCACATGCCCTAGAAGGCCTTGAATGACCTGGTACCCCACCCCTTTACCTCCCTGACCTCTCCCTCCAACCACTTCCTTCCCGTTCACCTAGGGCAGCTCCCCGGCCTCCCTGCTGTTCCCTGCACTTGCTTTACAGATTTTGCACACTCTGCTGCTCCTACAAACACTCTTCCCAAAGCCTCCACCCCTTCCCCCCGGCCACTCCATCAGCTGCCCTTCCCCACTACTCCCCGGCCCCTCCACTTCTTCCTCTTATACACACCATCATTTCACATACTACATGTCTCTATTTGTCTTTCAATTACCCACCCTGAAGGTATGTGATAACAAAGACTCCTGCCTCTTTACTATTCCTCCAGCACCTAGAATCATCCCTGGCACAGAGACAAGACACTGTCATTCCCCAAGTTTACGTGTTTATCTGTCCAGCCACACTGTCCCCTTCCTTCTCCTCAAACCCGTTCCCTAAGCCCGAACCACATCTTCCCATGGCTCATTCCTCACTCAATTCAAGTGTTGTTCAAATACCACTTCTTTAGCGAGGTGTTCCCATATCACCCTGTCTAAAAGATCGTTTTTCCCAATAACTGTAACCCTCTGTCTGATGTACCTTCCTACACAGCATTGAACCCTCCCTGAAATGATACCTATTTTTGCCTGCTAATTGTCTGTCTCTCCCACCAGAACACAGAGCACAGCCACCATAAGACAGGGCTTTGGCTTATTCATCACTGTTCCCCCAGCATCGAGAACAGTGTCTGGCACTGTGAGGCTTCAAAACATGCATCAATGAGCTTAGAAAGCAAAGTAATCAAGGACATATACAGAGAATACCAAATTATGAGTAGCTTCCCTCTGAGGTGACATGGTACCCCACTAAGCTACCCTGAGTGACAGAGACCAGCCAAGCTCCTGCCCACACCCCCTCCCTCCAGCCGCAGAACTGCACCTGTGACAGCCCCAGGCCCTCCTGTCCACAAGGGCCTCAAAATGCCCCCAAAGGAGGAACGACAGGTGAACTAGAAGTACAGAGAAACTGTATGAGCCTACTTTTCTAAATTCTCTCTTCCAAACAGTGGAAGAGATGGGGAGGAGGAGAAAGACGAATTTCTGGGGGGCAGATAGGCCTACAAATACTACAGTTTATGTTGTAGGGAAAACAGAGAGCCGTCTTACCGTATTTGACATCTGGAACAGTGACGGAGCTCTCTGCGATGTTGGTGGACAGGATAATCTAGCAAACATCAAAAACAAAGCATCTGACATTCTTACTGTGTAAAAAAAAAAAACAAAAAAACTCAAACTCAAAAATTATTTAAAAGCTTTTTAATATAAATACTGGACTCAAATTTTAAAATTAACAGTTTTCCTATTTTCTACAAGATACAACTGCTCAAGGGTCCAGGAGGAGGGTGGGGGGACTTGGTGCAGGGTGGGCTCCCCAGCTCTGCCCTACACCAGGGTGGGGCGTTGGGCCAGCTACTTACCTCATGGTTCTCATACACACCATGCACATAATAATGACGATGCCCGCCCCAGCAGGGTTGTTCTCAAGATCACAGGAGTTAACAAGGGTAAAGTGCTTAGAATTGTTGCTGGCATGAACGGAGTGTCAGCAAATAGTACCTATTTCCTTGCACTGCTCGCACCCAGGCACTGCGCCAGGCACCGTGCCACTACCGTAATGTTAGTCCAGACACACACTCCTACAGCTCACCTTCCTAACCGTCTGCATTCCAACAATCAAAGTCTCAGAGAAGTGATCTGCTCAAAGCCACACAACGACAGGTGACAGGGAGCCACGCCATCTCTCTGTCCAGGTCCACATGCATGGTCTTAACTGCTACCCCTCTTCCTGGTGTCATCCCTCACACACAGAGCCCGCCAACACAGCAGGTGATTTACAACAAAAGGCAAGGAGCCAGGCAAAGACAGCCACCCCAGACCTCAGACATGGGACTTCAGGGGTGCGGGGACCACCCCGAGGCAAAAAAAGCACAACCAAGCTAACACAGACGAAGTGACTGCACTGGGACACCATGCAAGGTCCCGGCTACCCTAGAGTCAGAACATCTGTACTGGAAGCAAGGGGGCTGAATCGTGCATGCAACGTTCCTGACCATCTCAGGCAGCTCGAGAAGGGTTGTGCTAAGACACTCCCATGGTCCACACATAACCCGAGAGTAAAGAAATCCTCTTTAAACAGGACTGAGAATGTGGGTTCTAAACAAAGTTGCCAGAGCAGTTCTGTGGATGCCAGAACAGTCCCACAGTTTGAGAAATGCCAACAAGTAAAAGACATCAAAATCCACTAGCAACAATGCCCAGAAGCTGAGGAAATTTAAAGATGTTAGCAACTGACGTACAAAATAAAAGACAAAATTAAACAACGTACCTGGCTCATCCGGCAATTATTTGCTCAGGGAGTAAACACTAGCTAAGAATATAGGATACAAGTAAGCTGGAATATTAGCATTCTCCGCTGGTAGAGTCTCTAAGAAAAATGTACCTGAAGTGGTTGCAACTTGCCTCCCAGGTTCCTACCTTTCTGTACCCAGGAACTGGACTTAAAAACACATTATTCTGTTCTTCTAGAGTCACACTTGAATGTAGTGGATAAACCTGTAACCTAGGGAACAGATTAATGAAATAAAATGTCCATAAAGAGTAGATGTATGTGAGAACACACAAAAAGACTAACTGTTCACGACGGAGGTGATCAGAATTATTTAAGGCAGAAACAGTATAATAGTATATCAGTAAAAACAAAGCTGCATCATTTGAAACACACCTTTTGTGAACCATGTTTGTGAGAAGTTCGTGCATATAGTTTATTTCACCCAGACCTGGGGAAGAAAAAGAAGTAGAGAGGAGGAGAAAAGATGTATTTATTACTAAAACAAACAAACAACAACAACAACAAAACTTTAAATTAAAATGACATCTTTTTCAAAAAAGGCCCTACCAATTCATTTTATTTGACTTTGTTATCCTCTTTGTCCAATTACATCATAATTACAAATAAAAATGTACAATGACACTGACCACTAGTAACTCAAAAATATGGGGAAAAATCCATATTCTTCCAGTCTTTTCCTTTTAACAACAGTGACTGCCTGCAAGTGTGGCCATGTGAACAATTTTACATTTTTATTTCCCACTGACTTTTCCAAATTTCCTACGATGAACATCCAACATTTCACAACCAAAAAAAAAAAATAGTTTTAAAAAGTCTTGGTCACAGAGATATGCTAAATTATTTTCATTAGGTTTAAGAAATGTCTATGGATAGGTAAAACTTTCACGTGCTTTTCCGTCACCCTGAAGTATCAACCCTATAATGGGTTGAACTGTGTCCCCCCCAAAGAGATGTTCAAGTCCTAGCCCCAGTACCTGAGAACATGATTTTATTTGCAAAGAGTATCACTGCAGACATAATGAGCTAAGGTGAGATCATACTGGAGGAGACAGGCCCTTACTCCAATACAAATGGTGTTCCCTTCAGGGGGAGGGAGAGGGACAGACAGAGGGCATGCATGCCATGTTAACAAGGGGGGCAGAGACAGGAGGGACGCCAAGAATGGATGGAAGGTGGCCGCCAGAAGCTGGCAGAGGCAAGGGAGGACTCTACCCAGAGCCCCAGAGGAAGCAGGGCCCTACCAACACCTTGATTTTGGACTCCTGGTCTCCAGAACAGTGAGAGAATAAATCTGTGGTTTGAAGATGTACAGCTTAGCCCCTTAGCACAGCAGCCCTACAAAACTAGCACAGAACCATTCCCAAAAGATCAAAATGAAATAAATATATATCAAACCTGCATTCACATAAACACAGAACAGAAAGACAACAAAATAAGCTGTAAAATATCATTTGTTAATATTTTCTGCAGAAAATGTTTAGCACTTAAAAGGTATTCACCTCGCTTTTAGGTATTCTTAAGCTCAAACCACTGTGGCTCTGCTCTGGTCATTTTCTTAATATGCTGTTATGTGCACAGCAGTCTTTGACAAATATTTATTGGGGTAAATACAGCTCCACCCCACTGCCAGCTAATGGCGTTTCCTGGGTACAAAACTAATCCAAAGGAGCCTAAGCAAAACATGATCAAAGTTGTACACTCAAATGCTACACCCCAAAATTAAGTATAAGTTACTTTTATTCAGGCTTTTTGTTCTCCAAATCTACCAGCACAAACATTCATACGCCCTCTATATTACCTTCCGACAACAAAAAAATATATTATTGTCATAATATTTCACTAAACGATACCATTTGATTAAAAAAATCAAAAACATTATTTTGAAAAAGTACAATTTAACATAAATTAATCTTTTCAGATATCTGAAGGGCCAATTTTCCCAAATACTAAGAAAGGGATGCCAGGCCCCTCCCGAGGACCCTTGCAGGGTCACAGGAACAACACTGTCACCGAGAGAGCTCTCAGTGTATGCTGGTGGCCATTACCTCACATTTATAACCAGCTACATGAAAGAGCAAATTTAACAGAGCCAATTATTTTACTGAAAATTCTGAAGGGGTAAGACTGCCTTCAAAAAATTAAACTCTTCGTGATCAATCACTTTAGCAATACTCAGGTTACAGTAAGAGATCAAACTGCAAATCACACTTGTTCAGGTTCTCGGGGTCCAAAAAACGACTAAACTGACACAGCGAGTACCACTTCTCACAACATGGGCTAGATGCAAACACAGCCTCCATCCAGGACATTGTAATTCCAGGTCACAGGTATGACACTCACCTGGCAAAAACACCAACACGCTGCTCCGCTCCAACACAAACTGGGCACCCGACCAGGTCTTGCTCCTGTTACAAACGTGAAATGCACAAACGTTAATCCAGGTGAGCGCAGCCACTGCTGTTCCAGAATCCTAAAGTCCAGGCTTCTGATTGCGAAAATCTCTTACAGACCATCCACTATAATGTTCCTTTTTTTTTTTTTAAAGGTTTTTTTTTTTTAAAGATTTATTTATTTGAGAGAGCGAGAATGAGAGAGAGAGAGAGTACATGACGGGGGGAGGGTTAGAGGGAGAAGCAGGCTCCTTGCTGAGCAGGGAGCCCAATGCGGGACTCAATCCAGGGACTCCAGGATCATGACCTGAGCCGAAGGCAGTCGCTTAACCAACTGAGCCACCCAGGCGCCCTACAATGTTCCTTTTTGTACCTAAGAAAACAAAGAGGCCCCAGGACATGGCCCCACAATCACTAAGGGGCCCCAAGCCCCTCGACTCCCACTGTTGTCTCCTATAAAAACTCATTACCTGGGGCACCTGGGTGGCTCAGTCGGTTGGGCGGCTGCCTTCAGCTCAGGTCATGATCCCAGGGTCCTGGGATCGAGTCCTGCATCGGGCTCCCTGCTCAGTGGGGAGCCTGCTTCTCCCTCTCCCTCTGCCTGCCTCTCTGCCTACTTGTACTCTCTCTCTGTCAAATAAATAAATAAAAATCTTTAAAAAAAAAAAACAAACTCATTACCTGCCAAACTTTCCCTTGAAATTTAGCTACTGTAATCCAGAATCTCAAAAGGCAAAACTTTTAAAAATAACTTGTATACAAGTAAAACTTAAACTCAAACCACCAGCTTGCCTTCCCACTCCCATCAAAATATTTCCTTTGTGTGAAATCAGAACTTTCATCCTCCGCATCCTGTGAGCTCTCCTCAAGCAGGCGGGTAAGGCAGTAACAAGACAGGTAAGGTCCCTGCTCTTTGGAGCTCACATTCTAGCTCGTGAGACAGACAAGAGACAGACAAGCAAATCAGGTGCCTCGGGTTGAGCAACGAGAGGGTTGGCAGGAACAGACGGGGGCCCGGAGCCTCTGTGTTGCGGTGCCCAGCTCACCCCCACAACTTTTCTCCTCCTCTGCAGTTACTGTTCCCAGACACAGCCTGGATTGTTGCTGCTTGGCTCCTCCAAGAAATGATAAAGACTAGAGTGAAAACTAATAAAATAGAGAAAGTAAAACAATGGAGAAAAATCAACAAAAGCCAAACCTGGGTCTTAGAAAAAAAAAAATCAATGAAAAGGACAAATCTTTACCTAGTTTAACCAAGAGGAAAAGAGAGAAGATTCAAAATACTGGATAGAATCAGAAATGAGAGGACATTACTATTCACTTTACAGAAATAAGAAAGATTATAGAGGAATATTATGGGCAATTGTACACTCACAAAGTGGATAGTTGACATGAAATGACAGATTCCTAAAAAGACACAAACTACTGAAACTGACCCAAGAAAAAAAACAATCTGAATAGACCTACAACAAAGAAAAGAGCCGCTTCCACTGTGGGTGCTCTCCTGCTTTCTAGTTCTGTCAAATAAATAAAATCTTTTTTAAAAATGATTTTCAAGGGTGCCTGAGGCCCTTGGGGCACCTGAATAGCTCAGTTAAGTGTCTGCCTGCAGCTCAGGTCATGATCCCAGGGTCCTGGGACTGAGTCCCGCATTGGGCTCCCTGCTCAGCGGGGAGTCTGCTTCTCTGCCCCTCCCATGGCTGGTGTTCTCTCTCTCTCTTGCTTGAACACACACACTCTCTCTTTTTCAAATAAATAAATAAAATATTTAAAAAAAAAAAAAAGAATAAACATTGCTAAAATATCTATGCTACCCAGAGCAATCTATACCTTCAATGCCATCCCGATCAAAATTCCAATGACATTTTTCAAAGTGC